ATTAGTACCAGTTAGAATTTTAATTATATAATTCTTATTTATCTAACTAATGCTAAAGAAATTAAATTGTGTAAATGGATATTCGAGTACTTTAATTCAAACATCAATTCACCAAAGATTATTTTAATATACAAAATCATTATTACAATTTTCTTCTGAACAAAACAAGTCAAAGAAAGAACTTTCATTCAAATAATTCTGATTATTCAAAAGCACAAGAATTCTGTGATAAATACGCTTCTTTGTTTGATCTATTACTTTTATTTTATCCAAAATTTATCACAAACAAATATCAGTTAGAGACATTGTTCTGGATTTCTGTTGAGACAAAGAATTTTTTACAACCTGTTGCTCTCACTAATCCTTTTAAACCACCATTAGAAATTCTTTTGAAAGAAGATGAAGATGATAGTCAAACTAGTTAACATTTACATTAAATACTATAAAGATTTAAAAGAATTAGAAAAACAACATTTCGAACTAGAGAGTTTTCTATGTGTTGCAGCTCAAAAATTTCATGATACTTACAAATGTTTATTTAACCAATTTCCATCATATTTTTATTATGATTTTACTAATATTGATTCTGAAATGAAGATCGATAATTTGTTTTCAATTGCCTATCTTATTAATTTTAAAATATAATAAATTCATCTACTTAGTTTGAAACCAAGTAGATTTTTTTTTACATAACTCAAAAGATGGAATTACTTCATACAATACTTCAAAATTTTAACACCAATAAACTTATTAAAATTGCAATTGACGGATATGCAGCAGTTGGAAAAACATCAGTTGAAGAAGCAATTGCGAATCAATATGGTTATCAGTTTATTGATTCTGGGTTATTTTATCGATATGTGAGTTATTATCATAATAATTACTCAATTGACCAAATCAAGCAAATCTTCGATGAAGAACAGATATTGAAATTGATTAATTCTATCAAACATCTTAATAAAGAACAATATCAGGAATCAGGAATTAGAGCAGCTCAGATATCAGCGAATAATGAATTACGTGATATTATAAATGAAACAATTAGAAAAATAGTCAAAAGCAAAGGATTTGTTGTAATTGGTTATGATATCACCACACTCTGTTTACCTGATGCTGAAGTAAAAATAATTTTATCAGCAGATGTCGAGACTCGTGTAGCTCGACGTGCTTTTCAAACAAATTTAAAAGATTATATTAATATTTTCAACAATATTTTAGAACGAGATGTAATATCTCAATCATTAATTAAACAAGCATATAATGTCTCATATGAGATTGATACAACCAAATTAACATTATCTGAAGTTGTCGATATGATTTTAATTCAAGTGTTTAAGAAGATACTTGGTATAACATATCAACATTATTACAGGATAATTATCATCATTTTAATTTTATTCATATTAAATTATTTTAATTTTCAATATTTTCAATCATTTATTATTTAATTTTATTTATTAAATAAATATATCTAGTTAGTCTATGACCAACTAGATTTTTTTTTA